CCAAACTCTCTCTCACAGCAGATAATTTAAATTCAGTAGCCTTCTTCTCAATTCCTTCTCTTTGGGCAACTCCCTTTGTAATTCTACCTTTAGTTTTTGGAGGACAACCCTTTTCTTCATCAACTCCATTTAACCACACCTTATCATCATCTACCTTAGTTTTTAACTCACCACATTTTTCAAGAATCTCTCTGTAATCTCTACTTTCTAAGCCTTGGAGAGCATATTCAGGTTCCTTTTTGTAAAGAAGATTTTCCCAGGCATTTACTATGGTTATTTGCTTTACTTCATCCCAACTTCTTGCCCAGTTAAAAACTGCATTTTTTATATTGTAGATTTTTATCTTGGAAATCCCGTTTTCCCCTTTGTCTTGCTCATCTTCACTTTCTTCAAAAATTACCAGACTCTCTTCAAGTTGCTTCCATCTATAAAGTCGTTTGCAGCTCAAGGTCACACCCTGATTCATTGGTTGGATCAAAGTTGAAGAGTTATGAGGAAAGAACATACATTTTATTCGACCATCCTCACTGGTTAGTGATTCAGCAGAAGAGTGAGCTGGGGAACTGTCCAGAAGTAACAATGCCCTGACATCCTCTTCATGGAATCTTAGGACATTAATTTGAAAATGCCGAACCTCAGGAACAAAGTTTTGAAAGAACCATTCTGAAAACAATTCCCTGGTGAACCAAGCATCTTTACTAGGTTTATATATCACAGGTAATGAACTTGTGTCCTCTCTCACACTTTTGGGCAGCTTTAATTTGCCAATAATAATTGATTTTAACTTATGAGTTCCATCTGCATTTGCACATAAAAGGGCAGACAACCGTTCTTTGTTTATTTTCCTCCCTGGCAGGCAGATATCTTTTCTACTTGCCTGAGTGTTTTCTGGCATTGACTTCCAAAAGAGGTCAGTCTCATCCCCACTGTATACCTGAGCTAGATGCAGTTTCTCCTCTTTGATTATCAAGGACAATTTTTGTCTAAATGGCTCAGCATTTTCTGAAGCTGAACTTAGGATCTGTTCTCCACATACTTTTCGGTTCCCAATTGCATGCCTATTTCGAAATCTAAAAAGCCAACCAGTGCTGGCTTTGAAGTCTGTTCGTCCAAAACATTGTGCAAATCTCTCTGCAGCAGCCTGAAGCTCCACGCCTCTAACAGGGACACCAGCTGAGCGTTTCTGTTGGTACCACATGTATACAGCATCATCTACATCACTATATTTAGCTCCTGTTGTCCTCTTTCTCTTTTCAGCTCCTACTAATGGCATGTCCTGTTTCAGTACAAAATCCAAAATCAATTTCTTATTCTTTTTAATGTCATAAAATGTTGACTTACTGATTCCAAATTCATCCATTACACTTTTAAGAGATCGTCCAGCTTCAATCCTGCTGAGAACCTTCATTTTTTCCTCCAAATTCAATGTTGTATATTTCCCTCTCTTATTCATAGTGATTTTGATTTCAAACAGCCAAAAAAAATAAAAGGGAAATACTTTACTGAATTGGGAAAAACATTTTAAAATAACAAAAAGCTAGTGGAGAGTCCTGGAAGGTTGCAGCATTTGTATTGGAGGATAATGGGCTGAAAGGAATAAGGGCTCATGATTGAAGTGTCAGTCTTACAAACTCTCAAAATTGCCACTACCAAAGACACAGGAAATAGGTTTTTGGAACCCCATTGTTTTCTCTCCCTGATAGGGGTACCTGCATATATTCTCTAATTCAACAGAGGAAAAGGGACAAAATGAAGAGTAGAGGCATTGAGAGACATGTGCTCATAAGAACAGAACCAGGTGGATTAAATCTGTAATACAAAGTTGATGCTTGAGAAAGGAGTATGAAAAACTCAAAGGTAATGACAGGGTTATCTTGTATAGCAGAGATGCTGTATGGCTTCTTCCAAAATGACCTGGTTTTACCTCACTGCTGGAACAGAAAACTGTGCTCATGTTGCTCTGTATGAAGCCTTCACTGGACAACAGTTCATCTACCTGTATAGACCCCAAGCCTCAAGGACCCTGACACTGGAACACCTGAAGAGCTAGAGCTTGGGGACATTTATATAGAATTTCTAAGTGAAGAAAAATCAGTAGGTTCTGTTGCACATCTGAATGAAATTCAATCTTTATTGTATTCAACATAGCAGTCTCAAACTGAGCTTTAACCTGAGTGTGAATTTTGTTGCCAAGATTATATGTAAACAATTTGTTTGTAGCACTTTTTCACTCTCAGGTCTTCTTTCTTGGGTATATAAGATGTATTCTCAATTATTCTTTTTCATTGAAAAGGTTCCCGGGCTGGGGATGTGGCTTAAGCGGTAGCGCGCTCGCCTGGTATGCGTGCGGCCCGGGTTAGATCCTCAGCACCACATACCAACAAAGATGTTGTGTCCGCCGAGAACTAAAAAATAAATATTAAAAAAATTCTCTCTCTCTCTCTCCTCTCTCACTCTCTCTTTAAAAAAAAAAAAAAAAAAAGAAAAGAAAAGGTTCCACATTTGGGATATCAAGCTTCAGAATCACGGAAATTCTCAGAGCTAAATCTGAAGTTTTACAAATACTTAACCATAGTTAAAAAAAAAAAAAAGTCTACCATTTCATTTTTTTTCCTGTTTACATTAGGATGTCAACATACTTTTCATATTTCTCTTCAGTATAGATTTTACTTAATTTGCACCAAGAATGAATTGTCTGAAGAATTCAAAAGATTGCTCTAATGGTATTTCTGATCAGTTGCTTCTCATAGTTCCTTCTGTTGCCAAACTTTTCTATATTCTCAGATAATCCTTTCAGGAGCTCCTGGTGCTGCCCAAAGCCATTGCAGGTCTTGAGAAATGTTCTACTCTAATTCCATGGTTTCCATTCCAGAAACAATTTCATAAGAAACAAAAACTGCCACTTATATCCACTCCAGGTGCTATGAAGAAAAAAATATGTCAGAAATGAGGAGAATGATTAGTATTTGTTCTTTTTCCTTCCCATTACATCAGAGCCTGACTGCTCCATTTATTCCCCAACTATATAGATTTCTCAAGTCTCTCATCTAAAAACCCAGAAGAGTCAGAGCAAGTCTTCCTCAAACATTTGTTGCTAGAAATGCCAACTCTTGAGTTACAGAACACTAAGAAAATCATGAAAGAATATATTTAGATGGTAGAGCCAATGACAGGCTAAARTCAAGCAACTACTAAGTGGTAACTATTATAAATGATAAAAAAATATATTATTTGTTAGCCAATAGTAGCACCATTATCTCTAGTCAATTACCCAGAAAAAACACTGTCCGCTATGGCAGTTGCAGATATCCCCAAATTAACTCMTTGTATTTTGTTGTTTCCTAGCTGTACATTCATCACTTCTAAAAGAGTGCACAAGCAGGGAGAGATGCATCAAGAGCCAGGGAACTTTTATGGGCTCAACAGGAAGGGTAAGCAACTGTGGCACCAAACTTCACACAGTGAAAAGCATCAGTGGCCCTCATTTGCCTATTCATCATTTTGCTTTGTTTCCTCCTTCTCTCCACAGTTTCTCTTTCCCCCTTCTTCTCCCTTTAACCAACTAATGAGATATAAGGGCACTGCTGGCATAAGTTTCCGTTATTCAACTTAATAAAGTTCTAGTTATATGTTCGGCATTAGGCGAGGTGATGAGATTCTCAATGCTAAGTTACTACTAGTTATGAAAGGCTGAGAACCATACTTACTTTTTAAAGAATTAATTCTCAACCTGATTAAGATCTAAGGAAATGAAYCTTCTTTGATACATATCCAAATGATTGAGGCTAATGCTCATTACTATGTTTAATCTCATTTAAAAAGGTTCAAGATCTGGGACTGGGGTTACAGCTCAGTGGTAGAGCACTTGCCTCACACATGTGAGGCACTGGGTTTGATCCTTAGCACCACATAAAAGCAAATAAATAAAATATTGTTTTCATCTACAACTAAATATATATATGTGTATGTGTGGGTGTGTATGTGTGTGTATTTTTTTTTTCAAGATCTCTGCCTCAGATGATTATAATAACATGCTGTTCCCAAACAGAAGTAGTATAATGGCCCCTGTCTTCATTCTGACTTTAAACTTACCTCTGGTTGAACTGCCCTAGAAAGATGTGCCATCAAAAACCCTCCAACTGGAGCTCTGTTATTGATTTTCTCAAATGCAATAAGATCCATATAAGTCTTTAAAAAAACACAACAAACTACTTCTGAAACTCTCCCTCTAAACATAGCCTGACTCTGTGAAAATGTACTTCCCATGTTTTATTCTAACTTTTTCAGCTTTCAAGCCTCCTCTTGAACTTTTCTGTACAAGTGTCCCCACTCTGCTGTGGGCAAAATTCCTCAAGGCCTTTTATAATTTCCCCCAACCCCAAATCAACTTTCACCTCCTTGGAGTTCTCACTAGTGATGTTGCTGAAGTTGCTTCGGCCCTCCGGGTTTCTCGYGGACTCCAGCGCCGGCTGCACACAGTTCACCGAGCAGGCAACCTCTGACTGGCACAGGCTGACACTGCGAACGCTGGGGAACCTCCGGCGCGATTCTGTCTCGTGCMGAGCTCCGGCACTGCCAGGACCAGACCAAAGGCCCGGAGCCCTGCGGGGAGGCAAGCTGTGGGGAGCGGCAGAGCCCGGAGGCCCGCGGAGCCGGAGCTACCTGCCTCACGAGCAAACGGCGCCCCCAGCCGCGGGGCAGGCGCCGCGCGGCCCTTCCAGAAAGCCTTGCAGACACGTGGGGCGCGCCCGGTCCTACCTGCAGGAACTGCCTGCTCTCCAGGAGCCCTCAGCGACGGCCGGGGCATGCGTGCCAGGCAGGGCGGCGAGGGCGGGCCCTGAGGGCTCGGGACCCTGTCGGTTCGGAAGCGTCGACAGTTCCCCGTGCCACGGGGCAGGCAGCCGCCCTTCCCGAGCGCCGTGAGCGCGGGCGCGCGGCCGTGGGGCACATCAACGCGAGGGAGGGGAGTGGCTACACGTCATTTCCGCTTCCCGCCGCGCGYGGCTCAGGGACCACAACCGAGACGCTGCGGGTGGGCGTCTTCTCCTACGAAGGCCTGGCGGGTGTGCGCGGCTTTCGGCCGCCTGCGCGCCTGCATCGGGGCGGGCGGAGCGCCGCGATCCGTAGGGCGGAGGTGGCTCGCTTGAGCCTGGGGCAGCTGGAAGCGGAGCCGAGCGAGGTAACCGAGGAGCTGCCATCCCGAGAAGACGGGTGTTCTGTAGGTGGCGGCATCCGGCCCGGGCGGCCAGAGCCTGCGGCGGGTACGGCCCGGGCGTGGCCACCGCCCGGCTCTGAAGGCTTTCCTGGCGTCCTTTGCGTGGGAGCGGGCCTCAGCGGGGCTAGCTGGGGCGTGTGCCGCTGAATCCGGAAGGCTTCCCGCTGGGGCGCGGGAGGGCTGGCGGCACCTCCAGCAGCCGTTTTTGCCCAGGCCAAAGGAGGACGAGCCCCGGGCTCCGCAGCGGGGACGGCTAGGTAGCATGCTTCACTGGGGGCTTTTCTTTGAATGCCTGTGGCATTTCGGCAGAGCTTTTCTTAGCCTCCCCTAGAGATCTAAATAACCCTCGAAGAAATGAGTCGCAGAGGGTCACCCCCCCATCACCAACTCCCCTTCTCGCTCTCTCTCTCTTTTTTTTTTTTTTAAGTTTTGGGTGAAAGAATTCCTCCACGAAAGACACTTCCATGGGAGAGTTCCACTTTATTACAAAAGGCTATGGGCTTATATAGATCTAAGGAGAGATGGCAGGGCTTAGGTAAATGACGGGTCACTCGTTTATTGGTAAGTTCTTCCAGATGTCAGTTCTGGAGCCCACGAAATTAGTTCTTATTGGGGCTAAGGTTTACTGTCAGCGAGATTTGAAATTGGCGCCGGCAGGAAAGGCAGAGGCAGGAAGAGAAGCTTCTCACGCGCCATGTTGGGTTTTTTTTTTTKGG